CTCAGACTAAAGCTCTGCAAAACAATCAGCTTTGTTTCATCTGTAAAAAAACCCATGCTTAAGGAGTGATGGATACTGAAGAAGAGTGAATGCCTTTTTACCTTCCTCCATTTTAGCGTTAGCGATGAGCATCTGCCTTAAATGCTTGATGAGCCCAGGCCAACTGAACGTGCTGTACGCGAGGGAGCGTTCAGGCATCTGAGGTATGTTACGAAGACCCAGCATCTTGAACTCGGGATGCGGAACTAACGCCTCCATTAGGTCTCCTGAAAGAAGAAATTAACAGCTGCTCACGTTGGACAAAAATATTGTACGGGCTAGCTAAAATGGGAGAAGAGAGTGAGGAATTTTAGAGAGATCTAGAAATGTACGGTAAGAAATACCACATATTTATTAGATATATAATATCTAGATATAGATATAAATATTATATATAAATATAGAAAGCTGTAACGTGACAAATACATTGACACGCATCAGGCAAAGTGATTCAAGCTTGCTACGCGCTACTGAGTTCTATACAGGCTTGTTGGTAGCTCTATTTTACAGTTCAGACTTGTCTTCATGGGCTGGCTCAAAATCTCAAAGACCCTGTGGACGGGTGCAACAGTTTAATTTCACAAGCAAAGGTCTTGGCAATATGGGTAATTTATTCTAATCCCTCAAAGATATGAATGTCAGCCTGTTGCTTACTGCTACCAAGTTGTGTGCTAGCCTGTCTTCTGCCTGAGCAAAACACAAATCTCATTTTCTTTCAGTTATACAAACCTCTAACCAAACATGAAATGTCACACTCGGTCCAAAATTACTGTCCTGCACACATCTCCTCTGAAATGTAAATAGGTACAAAGGTGCCTGTAATCACTTAAAAACGAGAAACAGGGTTCTTTTGTTAAATAATGAAACTAGAAGCTGGGGATCTATTTTTGACTCTGCCACAAAATTGGGATTGAACTTCTAATTTAGTATTTCACTTTGCTTATATTAAAATTTGGGACGTATTGAACACTTGAGTGAGGAGGCTGGAGGACTTAAATGTCACAACACATGATTCCAGAGAGCTGTGTGAGGATGCACGAGGCAGCTGCATTGTAGTTCGATACCTAGGGGGTTTCTGCTGTAGCGTAAGGCACCTTCTGCTGTGTAAGTGGGCTGGAAAACGCTCCCCAGTTGGTGTGCGATGACTTGATTTACATCCCTGAAGGAGATCTGCTTGATGTTCATCAGCTGAGCACAGATCTTGTGGATGACGTCGTTTTCGTGAACAAGAAGGGCATCTGATGACTGGTACAGGTGTGAGAGAGTCAAAACGGAGTTGTAGTTTTGAACAATGACCTGGAAACAGACAAACAACCAACCAACCACATGAAAATGAGTGTCAAAAGAACATAACCTCTTTCTAGTTTATAATCCTCTGGCTACTGTCATTGCTTCAGTTATGATTTAGGAAGTGATTCCTTTTCTTTGCCAGGGTGCAGAATGAGGTCAGGCGTTAGCAGGGCTTTTTCATGGAGAGAGAGCAAGACCTGTGAAAATCACATCATCCATCTCACTTCCTGCAAGCCTGCTAGAATAAAATCTGCCTGGGAACTGATGATAATGCTGAGGTGCTGTCGTAACAGGAGATTTCTCGTTAGCTAACAGAGCTTCTCGTGAGACTGCACTGTACTTTAACACTTATCAATGACTTTTTTGGGGGTGAAACAACATGTACCACATATTAGGCAAACAATACATTAGCTATGTTACTTTCTGTCATGCTGCACTTCTTAAAGCAAAATGTACCCCTTTGCTAGTTTATTGCAGTAGCAGATATTTTATGTTTAAAACCAAACAGCGATTATAAACTTGTAGAGTATCTCTGGGAAATACGACATTCACCTCGCCAGTGCCATAGGGCCAGATAACATGGTTCAGCATAAATGAGGTTGGAAAAGCATCTCTTAAAGACTGGGTCACAAATGCTCCCAAGCCAGATCCTGTACCCCCAGCCATGCTCATTATTGTGAAAAATCCACCGACTCGATCACATTTCTCGGCTTCTTTTTGCACCAGATTCATTATTACTTCTTTGTGTCTAGGCCCGTGAACGGAGTAACTGCCGAATAACAGACAAAATAGTGAGAATTGGCAGGTTATATCAAAATAAAAGCAGTAAGGTGAAGCATACTTTAATCATTATTCTTTATATACCCTCGCATTATATCATCCATTCTGTCTGCAGGAAACCACCCTCAGCTGTAACATTTATTTTGCAAAACAGCTGTTTGCAAACTGTCCTTTTTGCTCCCTCCTTTTAAACCAAATATTTTCACTCGATACTAAAATGTCACATTTTCATTGTAAATACCAATTCCACCTGCAACAAGCAGTTTACAAGTTTCACTGCTATGCATATCGCTACTTAGGAATAAACAGAGTTAATGTTACACACTCTCTACTCTCACAGCTGCAATAGTACCACTCCTAGGGTCTAGGAAGCTTGACAGAACTGCTCATACCCGTTTGCCCAGTTGTTCCCACACCCCTGCTTCTGACAGAAGTGCGACCGATCGTCGTATTTCCAGTGGCCAGACCTGGCAGCCATTGCTAAGGTTTGGCTGATTACTTTAGGTTCCATGTCGACAAGCACCGCCCGGGCAACAGGTACTGGATAGGAAGAAGAACAAAGCTAAGAATAACGTGCCAATATTAGGACTTGGGGACTTGCACCACGGCCCAGGTGGTCTTCCTCCCACCCAAGTAAGCTGAACTGTTTATTAATGGGACAGTACAGGTGGGTACAGAAAGGAGGATTTGGCAATGCCCTGAATTTCAAACCAGACCCTCTGTGGGAAACAAACACTTAAACGCTGCACCTTCAGATTCCTCCTCGCAGAAAAAACGTTCTTTGGAAGCATCGTGGTAGGATTCATTCTCCTTCTTGGAACACAACCCGTGTCTGCCATGGGCATCGCCCCAGATGGCACTGAACACCTCATGGCCAATTTGGTTACCACACTGACCAAGCTGGACTGTCACGATTGACATTCTGACCCACTTCGTGTAGAAGCCTAAAAAAGAAAAGTATGCCTTTAGTAACTGTGGAAAAGAAATTCTGAGATTTCTGATCAGTTTTTGCCATTTTTTTGTGAACCTCAAGTGGGAAGGAAAAGGCCACGCTACAACCACTGGGGAAAAGCAGGCTGTCAGCACTTTTTCCTGAACATCACAGGAATGCAGACGGCAGTTTGCGGGAAAGCAGTCTGTTTGGTGTCGCTGTACATCTGAGGGAGCCAAAAGCATCCGTACTGCAAGCAAAGGCTTTGTTTTCTTACTTTTGCTTAGTAAAGGCAGGGTAGAAACAAGTAAGTATAACTCAGAGCTATAGGACTGGGCTGGAAAAGCATAATAAGGAAGCACCATATGCCTTGAGAAATGTGAAGCCTGCTCAACATCCAGCTGATTTCCAGCCCTGTACGGCTGATGCCAAAATCTGCCGAGGTGACAAAAGGATTCCCTGGAGCATTCCCCTTGCTTCCACCCAAGACAGCAAAGTTTTTGATGCAGTACTGGTACGTTTTGACATTTTTTTCCCCACTCAGCAGTTTGCTTTGGTTTCTCACTTTTCTGTTCTCCTTTCACAGAAACAAGGTCAATTTTTTAAAACTCATTTCATTGTTCTGGGCTGCTATTTTTCACGACCGTCCCAGCTGTGCCACAGCACCTCTGCAACCGCATTCTTTGGGTAACTGCCCGCGCCGGTAACTACATCCTGCTGCCTTTCGCAGGCTGGTACGTGCTGGTTTTGACTCCTCTGCTTGATTTCAGCCTCAGGCCAGCCTGTGTGTTACCCCTCACCGCAGAAAATAAATTAATACATAAATATGTACATGCCCAGAGAAGCTGTGGGTGCCCCATCCCTGGGAGTGTCCAAGGCCAGGCTGGATGAGGCTTGGAGCAACCTGGTCTAGTGGAAGGTGTCCCCGTGGCAGGGGGTGGGGCCGGGTGGGCTTTAAGGTCCCTTCCCACCCAAACTGCTCCGTGATTCTGCGATTCCCGGGAAAGGAATACTCGTGTCCAACCCCCGCGTGCCGGCGGTGGGTGTGCTCTGCGCGTGGCACCCGGCGCGGGCCAACGTCGCTGGCGGCCTCCCCTGGCG